AAAACTATATGTAGTATCGTTCTTTTCTATTTCTTAACATATGAGATAAGCTAAATAAAAATTTAAGGGAAAGAGTACTTAAATGATGGATGGAATTACTTTGATTTTTCACACATTATAGCTTTTGCAGCATTTTGTATTTTAGACTTCACTAATGAAAATCAAGATATACTAATCTTGATAAAAATTCTGGTTATAATTTTATCATTTATGAAGCTATTCTTTTTCTTGAGAATTTATGATGGATTCAGTTTCTTGGTACAAATGATGGCTGGAGTCTTTAAAGATCTCAAATACTTCTTGCTATTCTTTATCATTTTCATCTTGCAATTTGGAATGATCTTCTTAGTCCTTTTCAAGGCTCAGTAAATTGATGAATATAATGGTGTGAATAAAATGGCTTACTTTTTAATGGCCTTTAGAATTTCATCTGGTGACTTTTAGCTTGAAGATTATCAAAGATAAGATGACGAACTGGCTCTAGTTTCCTGGTTGATTTGGTTAATAGCTGTAATATCTTTGAACATAGTTTTTATGAACTTTATAATTGCTGTAATTTCAGAATCTTATGAAAGAGTTATGCAAAAGTTAGTTGCTGAATCATACAGAGTAAAAGCTAATTTGATTTTTGAAAGAGAGCAACTTTTTAGTGAAGAGGAATTGAAAAGTACAAAATATTTTCCAAATTATATAGTTGTGAGAAGACCACTAAATACAGAGATAAAAGAAGCTGGGGAATGGTAAGGATTTATTAAAGACCTTAAGCAGACCATTAGGACAACAGTTGTGAAGTCTAAATCAGAAATTATTGAAAATCAGCACTTTATTTAAACTTTAAATAACGAAAATATTAAGAAGAGAGATGAAGTATTAGTACAGAATTTGAAAAATATAACGAATGAAGGTCTAGATGAAATAATTACTATATTAGAATAGAAACTTGATCAAGAATAAGACAATAGTAAAGAATAAATAAATGGCAAAGCCTAACTTGAGAAATAAGATACAGGAATTGATGAAAAAGTAGATGTGATAGATACAAAAGTTGATGAATTGAAGGCACAAGGTAAAAGACTTGATGCCAAAGTCGATGGGCTCAATTAGCAAGTTAAAGGGCTTGATGCTAAAGTTGATGGATTCAATTAACAAGCAAAAGGACTTGATATAAAAGTTGATGGACTTGATAAAAAGGTTGATGGACTTGATACAAAAGTCCTAAAAATCCAAGATGACATGGAATTTATTAAAAACTCTTTAACTTAATTCCTTCAGAAATAAAATCAGTGGTCAAAGCCTAAGTTTTGAAGGGATAAAAAGAATTATTAAATTTCTAAAAAATGCATTGGAAGTTGTTTTTGCTGTAATATTTCAAAGCTTAAAGCAAATACATTCTGAAGAAATATATTGATCCCATAATTATTAGATCAATTATATTTCTTAATATATTGATTTATTAGTTACGATATCTATTCTATCTCAACTTTAGGGGTTTTGGGGTTTTGGGGTTTTGGGG